CATACGTCAACTTGAGCCACCTGTGGCTGTCAAAGTCGGGGTTTATAATGCTTCCGTGAGCGCTGTCTTGCTCTAGGCCTGTGAAATCTTGCCCCTCCGAGCTGAGGAAGTGCAGCTAGTCTGCGTATTCGACCATCGCGGTCTCCGTAGAATTGCTTACGTCTGATGATATCATGGTGTGAGTAATTTTGAGGTCATAGTGGGTGTTTAGACAAAGTAGACATTACCATTCATTGAGTGTCGTCGTCTGGAAACACCGGCTCCGGTTGCTAGGGCATGCGCTAAGAGTGTCATCCAAGAGGCTGCCACGTTGGACTGTGTTGGCTGGCCCTGGGACTTGATGGAAAATACAGATTAGTGGTCGGCCTAAAACGTGGCATCGTGGGATGAGGGATACTTATGTTATGTTAGCATCAGTTGGTGAGTCACGACTTCGTGGCCGAGGTCCCAGAGATAGCTCGAATCATTACCGGATATGGCCGAGAATCGCAATCAATAGCGAATGTGTTACAATTTTATTTTTTCTCCCCATTCTGACAATACATAGACTATTCCTTATAAGTTGTTTTATTAATGTTTGATGCATCTTCTTCCTGGAGCCATATATTTTACCAGGTTCTGCATCTTAAATAAATAATAAATAAAAGTCGTGAATGTAATCTGAATACTAGCCTAGTTTATTAGCTTATATCACACTATGAAGTATTCAATTTGCGTCAAAATTCTACTAGTCGTTCAGGATCACTCTTTTATCTTTGATTGCCCAGCACCGAACACCTCCCTGAATGGGTTGTAGACTCTGGTCCCCCATCTGTAAATGAGGTTACAAAGGCTGTCTCCAGTTTGCAACGAGGTAAAACAGCAGAACCTGACAGAATGATTTCAAATGTGTTTAAGAACACTGTTGATAAATTGCTGTCTGGATTAACTAAGGTATTAGACAAGGTCTGAAAATCAGAAATAGTCCCGTTAAACTGGTGTAGGGGCATTGATTGTCTCGGCATACAAGAAGGGAAACAAGTCTTCCTGTGATAACCATAAAGGGATTAGCTTGATCATAATCATACGTGGATTAAGTAACGTAAGTAACTATCCATATTATTATTACATAACTTCTTTTAACAACTGTTTGTGACAGCCCATCACCTTTGTTACTATCCTAGTTTCATTTACACCTAATTTTCTTGACTTGTATTACCAACCTTCACCTGTTTAGTTAAAATAAACTTAACCAATTGTAATTTTGTTTGAAAAAATTAATGTACACATACATACAAAATAACACATATATTTGTGATTGTACAGCTAAGAAAATGAATTCGCCGAAAAGAGACTCTTCGCTGATCTACGTGTTTTGTTTTCATTAATGCTTTCGGTTCGTTTAAATAGAACTGTTCTCCGGAACAGTCTGTTAGAGGGTTGTTCTTGGAAGGTTTGTCAACATCTTGAAAGCCCTATACAGAAACACCTCAGGTAGAGTGAGGGCATTCAATCAGCTGTCATCACTGTTCCCAAGCAACAATGGAGTTAGACAGAGTTTCCCAATCTCCCCATTTTTTTTCTCTTTAACTTTGCCATCGATGACACTGTTAAGTCAGCTCTGAAGGACGTACGTGAAGGTGGTGTAGATCTGCTCCCTGGAGAAAGATTTTTCGATCTCGAGTATGCAGACGATATCGTCTTACTGTGTGATAGCATGCAGGCTGCCCAAATCGCACTTAATCAGTGTCTGTAAGTATGGTATGTACTTTGCGCCGTCTAAGTGCAACGTACTGTTACAAGATTGGCAGAAGCCTGTACCTGCACTCACTCTTGGGGGTGAGCCGCCTGAAGTTGTTGATAAGTTTGTGTATCTGGGTAGTTGTGTGAGTGCTGGTGGAAGTGTGACGGATGGGACTTCCAGCCGTATCATGAAGGCTAAGGTGGCATACGTCAACTTGAGCCACCTGTGGCTGTCAAAGTCGGGGTTTATAATGCTTCCGTGAGCGCTGTCTTGCTCTAGGCCTGTGAAATCTTGCCCCTCCGAGCTGAGGAAGTGCAGCTAGTCTGCGTATTCGACCATCGCGGTCTCCGTAGAATTGCTTACGTCTGATGATATCATGGTGTGAGTAATTTTGAGGTCATAGTGGGTGTTTAGACAAAGTAGACATTACCATTCATTGAGTGTCGTCGTCTGGAAACACCGGCTCCGGTTGCTAGGGCATGCGCTAAGAGTGTCATCCAAGAGGCTGCCACGTTGGACTGTGTTGGCTGGCCCTGGGACTTGATGGAAAATACAGATTAGTGGTCGGCCTAAAACGTGGCATCGTGGGATGAGGGATACTTATGTTATGTTAGCATCAGTTGGTGAGTCACGACTTCGTGGCCGAGGTCCCAGAGATAGCTCGAATCATTACCGGATATGGCCGAGAATCGCAATCAATAGCGAATGTGTTACAATTTTATTTTTTCTCCCCATTCTGACAATACATAGACTATTCCTTATAAGTTGTTTTATTAATGTTTGATGCATCTTCTTCCTGGAGCCATATATTTTACCAGGTTCTGCATCTTAAATAAATAATAAATAAAAGTCGTGAATGTAATCTGAATACTAGCCTAGTTTATTAGCTTATATCACACTATGAAGTATTCAATTTGCGTCAAAATTCTACTAGTCGTTCAGGATCACTCTTTTATCTTTGATTGCCCAGCACCGAACACCTCCCTGAATGGGTTGTAGACTCTGGTCCCCCATCTGTAAATGAGGTTACAAAGGCTGTCTCCAGTTTGCAACGAGGTAAAACAGCAGAACCTGACAGAATGATTTCAAATGTGTTTAAGAACACTGTTGATAAACTGCTGTCTGGATTAACTAAGGTATTAGACAAGGTCTGAAAATCAGAAATAGTCCCGTTAAACTGGTGTAGGGGCATTGATTGTCTCGGCATACAAGAAGGGAAACAAGTCTTCCTGTGATAACCATAAAGGGATTAGCTTGATCATAATCATACGTGGATTAAGTAACGTTCGGGAGAAATAGGTGGGCTTTAGAACACGAAGAGGGTGTATTAATCATATATTCACTCTTCGATAGATTCTGGAACATAGGGATACTTACCAGCATCCAAAAGTTGTCATAAGTTTCGATCTGAAGGCGGAATTCGACTCCGTCGAAAGAGAGGTACTATGACAATGTTTAACTGTGAAGAATGTCGAGGAAGTACATCGCACTACTTAAGTCACTCTACGAACTCACAAAGTCAGGTAAGGGTTTGTGTAAACTTGTTATCCGAAGTGATGACAACCAGTGGTGTCAGTAAGGGATACCCACTGTCTCGTTTGTGTTCAATTTCATCAAAGATGTACCAGTGGAATCGATCCTAAGCGACTTTAGCACCTCATAGATTGACTTATTGACTTAGAATATGAGGACGATATAGTCCTTCTAGGTGAAGACGCTGATAAAATGTTGCGTCTTCTGTAAACCTTGAGTAGAAATCTTAAAAGATTCACTTCTGTCAAATGTTAGATGCTGCTGCTACAGGACTGGACATCATTGACTGCTGGCTTACAAATAGAGAGGAGTAAGTGGCAGAGCATGCTAACTACTTCACTTATTTAGGGAGTTACGTCAGTCTCAGCGAGCTGACCGCTGACGAAATCCCACCACTGATACAAAAAGCTTGTGTGGTATTTGCCAACATGAATCATCTTTGACGGAGGTGTGATATACGGATATTGACCAAAGGACAAATGTACTGCAAACCAGCTAGTTCTATCCATCCACCTTTATGTTTGTGAGACATGGCCACTGAAAGTGGATGGCACGAGTAGTCTAGCTGTTTTTGATCACGTGTTTGAGTTCTATTTGCCGCCGCATGTGGTATAATAGTGTGAGTAATATTGAAGTTAAGCGTGGAGTGTTAGGATATGTGTTGTACATGCCTAAAGATCGTCTTCCTCAACGAAAAATGTTACCGTCATAAGATCAGTTCCGAAAATAGCTAGTGGTGGTCAAACCAAAACATGACTTCATCAGTCAATGAAATAAATCCACAACAGTTAGTTTAAGCCAGCCAGCCATCCAGTCATGCAGGGAGGTATAGGCTGTCTGGCTATTTGGGGTCCTCGAGATGGTAAAAATCAATAAAGGCTGGAGACAATTGATGATGTGCGTCGGTGACACAGTGGTTAGGACTCTCGCCGACCATGCACATGGTCCGAGGTTCGGTCCCCTGCCAACGCACACCTGATATCTATGGTCGCCCTGCAAAACTTAGGCTACCGATATCCATGCTGAAAATTCCTTACTTGTACCGAAAATACAGTGTGGAATCAAGCTGTGATCAAAAATATAAAAAAATTAAAAAAAAAAACTTAAAATCGACCTCAATGGTTGGCGCAGATACATTCACTCTTTGAGATTTATCATATCCAAATTAATTCTCTTCTTCTTACATATTATTATTCCTTTTCTCTCACCCACAATTCTGCTCATTATTATTATTAAATAATGGGATGGAGTGAGGTGTGGCAACTGGAAGTGCTACCTCACATCTGTGCAAAAGTTCAATGTTGAAACCAGTCAGTCACTATGACCACTACAATGTAAACGTTCCATCTCTTATAAGAATGGCATTCATACAATTTTCTGCAAGTTCTCACTGTTTATTATGTAGCCTTTGTTAATCGAACATTTATGACCACCTTAAATGAGGTGACCGGTGCGTGCTGATAAAGAATCACAAACCAGGACGAAATAGTTCTCCAGTATTCCCTGGCTTTTCGATAGTTCTCTAACTGAAATATAATCAATCTATGATCACACTTAAAAGTAATAAGTTCATTAAATTTGATCATAATTTACGCCAGGGAAAATTCATGTCAAAAAAACAAAGATTCTTATTCCAATTAAATTTATTCAGTGCGATAACAGTTCCTGCTACAGCGAAAAAGTTAACACACACACACAAGAAAAAAATCAGATTAAGAAAACTTCTGCTTGTTTGCTGACTTACTCATAACTATTCGGACCAACAGATTCTTTAATATCCTTCAATATATCACTAATATATTCTGGGACATGATTCCTATAGTCATCGTCGGATAAATCCTAATAATAATAATAATAATAATAATAATAATAATAATAATAATAATAAAGTATTTATGAGATTATGTGATGAATTAGTAATAAGATAATAACTTACGCGGAGAGCTACAAGTAGTGTAACAAGTTTCTCTACAAGAGGCAATAACCTTTCCATATCGTTAGGTCTAGGCTTCTAAAATTAAAAGAATTATAAATAATGATTGATGATTATTTTACAATTAGAAATTATGAACACAAAAACACCCGCCACCCCAAAAAAGAAGCAGTAAGAAGACTTTCAAGTGCAATTGATAGAAGTATTTATTAGGTAAATTATCTGCATAATCATATAGTCGTCCCTAATTATATACTGACAGTATTGATGATTCGATCATCCAATCAACTACACAGAAGGTACACTTTATTTGCACGATTCGATTTCAATGAATCTATGAAAATTGATTTTGGAAGTTAGATTGTAGTATTTGGTGCATTAAAATCTAGTGAAGGTACGTACTATTTGTGCAGAAAACCAGGAGAAGATATGATCAGTTGAAATGCAGAGATTCTCACTCCGGTTTCTCTTATCTCAGAGGAGAAGTAAGAACTCCCCTTCAGTTTCCATTACATGCCCCATGTTCCTAAAAACTGCTTTTTCGTGCTCAATTCATTTCGAAGGATTTTAAAGATTTCCATTATCTTACTAATCGTCGTGATTTGGAACTATTAGCATATTGATTAGATCATTATTAAAATATCCTTTGGGGCCCGACCGAAAGCTGCTACCTTGACGTGGTGGTCGGGCTTGAACACCGCAATGACCTAATCAAGCTATACTGGCTGAGACTTATGTCTCTTGAGGTCCTACCATGCCAGGCAGGTTGTTTGGATAGCGGTTAAACAAAAAGCAGCTACCCATCCAACACTATGATACAAACAAATTCACAAAATTTCATGCCGGATCGGCCGTGGCCCGGATTAACAACGACCGCGCTTCCTGCTGCCGTGTCACAGGGCAGGAGTGATAAATGTGCTACTGAGACACACCAAACAAAAAGAAGAAACAAAAACAGGCCGCGTGTGACCGGCCTCAAGCAGTTGTCCCCTGGGCTCTGCGGTCACGCAACCAACTTCCACGGTGTGGGCAGCCGGGAAGTAACAATCGCCCTCACAATCCGAAATGCACACAAAACCTCTCTAATCCTCACTCATCTTTGTCTTCATCTTCATCTCTATCATCTTGCCTTCCTTCCACTGATGCAACTCCTCTACTTGATAACTCTTCACTCTGTGTCCACTAAAAACGACGAAAGCCAAAAAACCACCACCGATAGTCTCCTAAAGCCACGCCACCAATTTCATATAGGAGCATTTAATGTTAGGACACTTTGCCAAATAGGACAACAAGCATCACTAGCTAAGACCCTGGCATCCGAGCCATTGATGTATGTTGTGTTTCAGAAACACGCATACAAGACCCAAGTGTGGTTATTCACCTAACCCCACCTGGCCAACAGGATGAATCTTCAAAATTCACCTTGAGGGTGTCAGGAGATGCCACAGCTAGTTCACGAGGATTAGCTGGCGTAGGGATAGCTTTGAGTACTAGGGCAGAAAAGACATTGCTTGACTGGATCCCGGTAGATAGCCGAATGTGTGCTGTCCGTCTGAACGGATCAGTAAGAAGGAGAAAGGACTGCACTACTCGCCGATGCCTTTTCGTAATCTCCGCCTACGCCCCCACTGACTGCAGTTCGGATGAAACGAAGGATGAGTTCTACCAAAAGCTGTCTAGTTTGGTGCGAAAGGCTAAACGCTCAGATATAGTCGTTCTAGCTGGTGACTTTAATGCTCAAGTAGGGAAATTGTGTCAATCTGAGAAGGATGTCGGTGGCACCTATGGAGTTCCGTGCCAGCGAACCGACAACGGTGACCGTCTCCTACAGTTCTGTTCAGATAATCATTTGTTTCTTGTAAGCACTAACTTTAAACACAAGGAGAGACACTGTTTAACCTGGCGACCCCCATCATCAAACCAACGCTGGACACAAATAGACCACATAGCAATAAGCTATCGTTGGCGTGGGTCGGTAGGAGATTGTCGCTCCTTCTGGAACACGTGTGTAGATACCGATCACGCACTGGTCCGGGCTCGTGTGTGCTTACGACTGAACGGACGTAGGAAACAGCTGGCGGTAAAACCATCACGTCCCCAGCTCGATCAGGAAACTAAATCCCTATTTGAGGAAGAACTAGCTAAACACATCTGAGTTCGACAGCTGTGCTCACCCTGAAGAAGCCTGGAAGAATATTCAGTCAGCCATAGATACAGCTGTAAAAGCTGTGAATAAGGCAAATCCAAAGGTGAGTAAAAACCACTGGATTTCGACTGCCTCATCCGAACTGATAGATGCTAGAAGACTTATTCCGGCGAGCTCCGAATTCAATGAGGAGCGAAAGCTGCACAAAAGGAAACTTACTAAAAGTCTCCGCAAGGACCGTGAACAGTGGTGGTGACAAAGGCGAAAGAGATGGAAAAAGCATCGGCGATAGGCAACACTAGGCAACTCTTTAGACTCATCAGGGAAACGGGTGGGAGAAGGCAAATCATAAGTGAGACTATTTCTGAGAAAAATGGCTCCTTAATTAGCTCTCAGGATAGACGCCTTGAACGCTGGAAAGAACACTTTGAGGACAATTTAACTTGCCTACAGCCACACTGAACCTCCCCGACATCCAGCACACACCCGAATGGGATATAGACACTGGTCCGCCGTCTGTAAGTGAGGTCACAAAAGCTATCAGTAATTTGAAACGAGGCAAAGCGGCAGGACCCGACGGAATTATTCCGGAGGTGTTTAAATATGGGGGTGACATACTAGTTTGTAGATTAACTGAGGTACTAGGCAAAGTCTGGGAATCAGAGACAGTCCATCAGACTGGGGTAAGTCACTTATTATACCGATATTCAAGAAGGGAAACAAGTCCTCGTGTGATAATCATAGGGGGATCAGCCTAACGAACATAGTCTCTAAAATCCTAGGCTCAGTAATCATGCATAGACTAAGCAGAACTCGGGAGGAACAGACAAGGGAAAATCAAGCAGGCTTTAGACCAGGTAGAGGGTGCATAGATCATATCTTCACTCTTCGACAGATTCTAGAACATAGACACACTTTTCGGCGTCCAACAATTGTCATATTTCTTGACTTGAAGGCGGCCTTCGACTCCGTGGATCGAAAGGTACTATGGCAATGTCTGACTGTGAAGGGAGTGCCAAGAAAGTACATTGCACTAATCAAGGCACTCTATTCAAACTCACGTAGTCGTGTAAGGGGGAATTGTCATCTGAATTGGTAACAACCAGTGGTGTCCGACAGGGATGTCCACTTTCCCCATTTCTGTTTAACTTCATCATAGATATGCTAATGGAAGTATCCTTAACTGAACGTAACGACTTAGGAATCGACTTGTTACCAGGGAATAGTCTTATGGACTTAGAATATGCAGATGACATAGTCCTGTTAGGGGAGGATGCTGACAAAATGCAGAGTCTTCTGAACACCTTGAGCAGCAATCTTCGTATGTTTGGCATGCGATTCGCCCCTGTAAAATGTAAGATGCTGCTACAGGACTGGACACGTCAACTCCTAACTTAGTGATAGGGAGTGAAGTGATAGAACATGTTGACCACTTCACCTATTTGGGAAGTTGTATTAGCACCAACGGACTGATTGGCGATGAAATCTCAGCACGGATCCGAAAAGCTCGAGCTGCTTTCGCTGACTTACACCATCTCTGGCGTAGGCGTGACATCCGGTTATCAACCAAGGGACGTGTGTACTGCTCATCAGTTCGCTCCGTCCTTCTCTATGGCTCTGAAACATGGCCAATACGCGTTGAAGACATGAAAAGGTTGACTGCTTTCGATCATAGATGTCTGCGATCTCTGTCTCACGTTAGGTGGTTTAATCAGGTAAGTAATGTTGACGTTAGGCGTAGAGTGTTGGGCAAAGAGGGAAAATCAATCGACGAGGCTATAAAGTTACATAGACTGAGATGGCTAGGTCACGTGCTGCGCATGCCTAACCATCGCCTCCCCCGACGGGCATTACTAGCTGATATAGGTGCAGGTTGGAAAAGAGCCAGTGGTGGCCAAACAAAAACATGGCATCAATCCATGAAATCCTTGACAGTTAAACTGAGTCAGGTAGGGAGATGCAGACTCCGGGTTGGGGCCCTCGGGACTCTAGGAATCAATGGCTGGAGACAATAGGTGACATGGCTCAAAATCGTTGTCAATGGCGAGTATGTTTTCTATGTGAATACAGAGATTTATAACAACATCCATTTTCTTTCCTCTTAACTAGACAGTCAAGCAAAGTCTAACTGTGCTTTCCAAGTAAACTGAATATGCTGGAAGACTGATTGTTTAGTCTCTCCAAGAATCGACAGTGTAGGTCTTGTTTTAGTACAACGAAAGTATAATCAACATATTTTACGTGTCACTATGTTTCAGATATTATTATGAAATGTATTCATGAAAACATCATCGACCACTGGGGAAACTGGAGAATCCATAGCTACACCATTTGTCTATCTCTATATAAATTTCCTTCAAATGTTAAATAATTAGCTTTACGGTTTTAATCATCTCATATTGAAGAACGATGATTAGTTAGTTAACTGTATACACGCTGAGATTTTGTAAACTCTGGTTTAATATTATTACTTTGTGGTAACTATATATTAGCAGTATTAAGTGGCTAGATGTCAATAAAAATAACAATATCATTTTATTTTTCATTCTTTGGGAGTTATCAGAACTTTTATTATCATAATAATGATTACAAATGAATGAGATGATTATCCCAATAATTCCTTATAAAACCATTCATACCATAAAATAAGTCTGAGTAATCGATGTTGATCTCTAAAATAAACAAGTTAGAGGTTTTGTTACTGCTAAACGTCAAAGGAAAGGTGCCTACTGACTGAAGGAAAGGTTACCTCGTGAAACTACCAAAGAAGGGAGACTTACGCCTCACTCTGCAAGAACTGGCGAGGAATCATGCTCCTGTCGACGCCAAGTAAAATTCTGAGTCGCATCATCCCGGAGAGAATAAAGGATGCACTGGATACAGAACAAGCTGGATATTCAGGAAAGACAAATCATGTTCTGACCAAATTGCAACTCTACTCATCATCATCGAACAAAGCATGAAATGGCAATCTAACCTCTATCTCAACTTTATAGACTTTGAGAAGGCCTTCGACAGACAGCGTTGACCGCGAAGTAATTTGGAAACTACTCGAGTACTACGGCGTACCCCAAATATTCATTAGCCTTATTCAACAGCAGTACGACAACGGCACATGTCAAGTGATCCACAACGGAAAACTCAGAGAGGCGTTTGGAGTAAACACAGGAGTCAGACAAGGATGCTTACTATCACCAATGATATTCCTAATTGTGGTGGACTGGATTATGCGTCGAACAGTGGGAGACGAGAAGGCAGGGATATCCTGGACCGATGTGAAGAACCTAGAAGACCTGGATTTCGCGCGCGGATGATTTATGTTTGATGTCACACAAAATCGAAGGCTTACAAGCGAAAACCGACAAACTGGTCGAAGAAGCAGTCGGCGAAGACAGGACTTCAGGTGAACATAGACAAGACGGAGGTTATGAAAATAACCAACCAACAACAACAACATCCAGCGCCAATCACCATCAACGGGAGGGATTTGAAAGAGGTTACTTCATTCACTTATCTAGGGAGCATTGTCTCAACTACAGGAAGTCGGAACAGACCAGGATGTCAAATCGAGCGAGAATCGGGAAGGCGGGTGAGAAACACATTCATCAACCTGAAACTAATCTGGAAATCTTCGTCACTCAGCATCAACAACTAAATTCGGTAGGATTTTCAATACAAACGACGTCAAATCAGTCAGCTCTACTAAACCGATCAGAAACTTGGCGGGTGGGTCACAAAGAATATTTCCAACAGCCTGTTGCAGACCTTTATCAACAGTTGTCTTCCCTCTATACTGAAGATTAGATGGCCGGGCCGGAAAGGATCACAAACAAGAAACTATGGGAAGAAACAAAACAAGAACCAGTCGCCAACCAACAAATATGCAGGAGAAGGTGGAGATGGATTGGACACTCGCTGAGAAGGCCGCCGCTGTTTGACATCACGCGCGCGTCAGGCCATTGGTCGAGTGGAACCCGAAAGGGAAGCAGCGAGTGGGACGTCTGTGCAAGGGTGACATGGAGGAGATCGTTTGAAGAGGAGTTGAAACAGTACGGACTAACATGGATGCAGGTGGAAAGTACAGCAGAAGACAGGAGCAAGTGGAGACGTGCAGTTGAAGCCCTATGTTCCACTAGGAACCCATGGGAATAACAATAAATAATAATAATAAACGTCAAGTCTAAGTAGTATAAGAAGAAAGTGGTAACATACCAGGCGTCGGTGGCACAGCGGTAGAATGCTCGTCAACCACACCTCATGTGGTTCGGGATTCGATCCCCGGCCAACGCATTCTTTAACCTCGCTAAGCCAGTAATAAGACTGGTAAAGAGGGTAGGTTGGGCATGAAGCTAGCAACCTCTTCGCGTAAAAATAAACATTACTGCTACCAAAATTTCATGCCTCTAGCTTGAAGCTCTTTGTTCCACTGGAAAAGTAAAAGAATAAAACAATAAATTAACGCACTATTCCATTCAAATGATATAAGAAGCATGAAGATGATAATGAAAAGGAATAGGTAAGCCATAAAACTTAATAAATTGAGAATTAATGGAAACATATACGATTCATTCATGATTACTTTAGGAAACAGTATTAAAGTCTTATTCATTGATTAATCTGCTCGCCAATAATTTAACAAAAATATGCTTATAGCTTAATAATAAGAACCTTAGACTCAACTCTAGGGAGAATTATTTACACAAAAGAAACATATAAAAGCCATTAGATTAAAGATATGAAAGGGATACTACATCTCTAGTTTTTTTATTTCCTTAAGTTTCCAGAGGAACATAGAGCTTTAAACTTTGAGTAGCAGTAGCGTGTGCTTCTTTATTAGGAGTGGACATTGCTAACCGCACGCCCGACCTTTACTTTTTATCGGTTAAGCGAGGTTTAAGTGTATGTCGGCTGAGAATCGGACACCGGACCACGTACAGTGTGGTTAGCGAGTATTCTACCGCTGAACCACAGACGCATCTCCCTCTCTCTCTCTCTGACTCTAGTGGATGTGTAAAATTGACGTCTTTTATTTCACATTCACTTACTTCTGAAAGTCTTTCAAATGAAACATAATCTGTAACAAAAAGTAACTACAAGTTAACACACAAAAAGGTATACTGAATACAGGCTATTCCTCCTTAATGCAGCCGATAACTGCTACCTTGTCGTGGTGGTCGGGCTTAAATACCGTAATGACCCAACATGTTAAACTGACTGGGACTCTGTCCCTGCAGGTCCTACCATGTCAGGAAGGTTGTTTGGATAGCGCTTAAACTAAAAGCAGTTACCATGGGGTACATGGGCTCCAGTATCCAATCGGATCAAATGGCGTATGAACCCATATGGGTCACCAGCAACCACGGGAATGCAGCTCCTGACGCTGCTCCGCTGCCTTGCGGATTAGACTCCAGGTCAAAAGCTCGGGGGGTGGTCCCTTAATAAAACCACCTGCTTCGGTCTGGGTGCCCGGGCAGTATCTCAGCCCTCACACAATGAATTGAATGAAGCAACAAACAATCAATGAAACTTATCGCGTGCTATTACACGTGTTGCAATTTCCTTCTTTCTTCCCTTCCCGATGATAGTTAACAAATACTGTTTGAACTTGTTAAGCATGACCGTTTTCCTTTCAAATGAAGTTCTTTATCCGTTCTCTACTTATATATATATTTTCTTTCTTTTGATCTATGTTGTTTTATTATTATTGTGTGGAGCATTCTTTCTGGTACCATATTGTACCAAGTTTTTATGCGTTTAAATAATATAAAATAATAATAAATCCTCCATGAGGCAACACTTACACTCTACGATGAAACCAAAATTCATGTGTTGAGAGATACATTCAAGAAATATGGTGATGACAATGGGGATGGATAGGACATAAGATGAGGTGACCGTTGGGTAACATCACACACTGCTTGAGTGGAGCCCGAATGGGAGACGACGAGTTGGGCAGGAATCTGAGGTAGACATGACGGAGATCATGTGAGGTGAAGGCGAAAGCTCATAGGCAGTCATGGAGCCAGCTAAACGGGACCGCGGGGAATAGGAAAAAGTGGCGATATGCTGCTGAGGCTCTATGTTCCACTCAAAACTGAAGGGGAATAATAATGATAAACCCCAACCACATTCATGTGATGTGAAAGTCCTTTTCATAACGGTTTCCCTCGTAAGTAGGAATGCAGTAGTAATCACCCAACTATCTATAGCAAATAAACTAGAGAAACAAAATAAGTGTCTTTTAAACCCCAGTAGCTACAGACTGTGTAAACGACGCTGATACTGTCTCCTTTTTGGTCGAATATTGAGGTATACATCGTTACACAGACCTGTGTAATTTCATAGGAATACTCGGTCTTATTATAATTATTCCTGATATATATGAAATTCACTCCTAGTAGTCTAGTATTTTAGGTCATCATTTTCAGTAAAGTTACCTCAGGTTTAGCCATCGTTCGACAGATTTCTAGAGCTTCATCAGCACAGCGACGCCTCCAGTCAGCAGTCGACGTTGAATCCATCATATTGTGTTCTTGTGCCATCTAAAACATAGAGAAAACCCCACTAGATAATACCTATTGCATTCAATATACCATAGAGAATGCCAAACTAGATAAAAACCAACCACAACCACACATAAAAAAGAAAACATGACAACACTGTAAAACAAAACCTCGTAATTGTATACAACATTTTTATCATAAGATTATGAGTAATTAATCCGATTGGATGCCTGCTGGTCAAACTGTAGTATGCAATTCAAACGGTTAATTACTTGTATAGACCATACCGGCTGTATTATTCGAATAAACAGAATTCTGATTGGAATAATTCTCAGGCATAGATGTATATATATATATATATATATATATATATATATATAACACCATAGTCATTTATAATAAAGGTATTGGTAGCTGACAACTAGAATGAAATATGCAATTAATAGTATTATTACTATCATTATCATTACAACCTGGAAATATTTATTTAATCATTTGATTCCATCTCTACCAGCTTTAATAATAATATTAATAGTAATAATAATAACCTCAAGTATTAGTTGGATTAGGCCCAAGTGGCTTCATGGTCTACAAAGTTGCCTTGTAACAAGAGGGTCCTGGGTTTGAACCCTGGCGGTGGGTGCCTACTGGTGAAGAGCTCCAAACTAGGCTGACGAAACAGCTGTCCTGGACTAGTTGAGGGTTTTCCAATGGTTCTCTCACTGATGTCAGCTCATGATGAAATCCTGTAATAATGACTTTATTCCAAGCAATAGTTTTTCATACTGAGTTGAATTTAAACCGTTTTTTATACATATTGCAACAATTTATCTTCATTTACAAATAAATAAATACACAAAATAGTAATAGCGACAATACCGCAGAAACTGAAAGACAGCACAGGGAGAAGAAGAATACAGGTTATAATAATTTTAGTTATAGTTTGTGGTTTATTTAGAGATTAAGAAGCCAATAAGCGGCTTTTCTGACATCTGACTTGCTCTTCACACAAACCCCATGCTAAATATGGTGTGGTTGCTTGAGTTTTTATATTTAGTAGCCGTACAAGCATGAATTTGTATGAAATTTCTGGTTTCAACCCCGAAGAGATACAAGATGAAAATTGTGAATAAAGGGAAGGATGTTCAGTATCAGACATGATGATTTAAGCCAACTGCTCCCAAGTATTAAAAAGCCTGTCAAGAACAACGTCAGTTAGTTGAGGCAAAGGCACACTACTAACCCTGCTTACAGCCTTCAGTGCTCTACGTGATATGACATTCGTTTTCGAGAAATCCATGGAATAATAAGAATAATAAAGAATAGGCGGAATACATGAAATAATAAGTTGTAAGAGGAGAGGTTGAATTACGCCAGGAAGCCTCAACTTCTTCCTAGAAATCAGCAAGATATGAGACGTCCAAGAAAGATTTTCAAGGAGAAACTGATGCCATGACAAAACATATTCAAATTACTCCCTATCACAGTGCCATCGACATCACAAGAATTATGGGATTGAATCAGTCCACGTAAGTCTTGTTCACAGCTGTGCGTCGGTGGCACAGTGGTTAGGACTCTCGCCGACCATGCACATGGTCCGGGGTTCGAGCCCACGCCGGCGCACACCTGATATCTATGGTCGGCCTGCGAAATTTGGGCTACCGATATCCATGCTGAAAATTCCATACATGTACCAAAAATACAGTGTGGAATCAAGCTGTAAATCTAAAGAAAAATTAACAGTCTGACATTTAGACAAATTCATTTTAAGACCTTCGGTGAGCTTGAAGATAAGCAAGTGGGATAGAAATTGCCACATCATCAGCACATTTAATGAAATTGGTAGGTGGTCATGCGTGATAATAAGCATTCAATCATTTTAGTTAGAAATTGGCGGAACCACATACTACTTATTGATTGAGATGAGTAGTTGTGTACCAGTAGTGTTTGCTAATCGGCCGGATCGAGGTGATCTAAACACTATTTGGTGACGACCTCATCAGAGCAGTAGCCAATTCGACTCAGCTACGAGGGCCGAACCAGTTCAAACTACCCGATTTCTGGCTAGTAAATTTTTAATTTGAGAAATTGGTAAAGTTTACATTTTATTATGAAAGTCTAGTTCATGGAGATAAAAATACAAGTGTATTTGCACTTTGCCAATGAATAAAGAGTATATACTACCAGCACATTCAGGAGATTCGTGATATTGAGATGAAATTCATCTGATCCGATAATATATTAATCCTAGTTTAACATGCTTCACAGATACGACTAATATAGTAAACGGAAATTATAACATAAACATCATAATACTGTTTCACTAAACCACTAGAAAACTTTTTACAGAATGAACACTGGCAAATTCTAACGTTGTGAAGATATATAGTAACACGATAATGATCAGAAAGGGAACAACCATTCCTACAAATTACAGTAAATAAGCTTTCATTACCACAACACTGCTAGTGAGACAATAAATGTGCCCTTAAATGGTGACGAAATCACCGGCAGAATTAACTTCAGACTGGCAGTTAGGCTGAAAAGAACTGATCCCGCAATGAGATATGTTTGTTTATATATCAAGATTAGTTTATCATGCATGCTTATCGAAAAAGAGCTACCTGTATGAATTCCTGTCAACTTCATGAAAACATTTTTTCCAATTTGACCAACAGATTGAGATCGGTTAGTTACATCCACAAGAATGTTTTAACAAGTGTGAGAATATTAGAGAGGCACCCTGCTTTTAAATCTTTCAACAGTAACTCCCGGTATCTTATGAGAATGCTGCTTCTCGTCCGAATGACTTTTGAGATCAGAAGATAGAGTTAAGATTACGGTTAGATTACATTTATGGTTAGGAGTTTGATTCGAAGCACTCAACTACCGAAGTCCCCATTGGCTACTTCGAGGTTATTGGTTCGGTTGTTCACTTGTACCTGAATTTTTGAAATTCACTCCCCACATTTCTGAACAAACTCAGATATTTCCATTCGTTAACAAACACAACGTGGGGGCAGAGGGTACCCTTGGATTTCGAGTGATACGTATCGTCAGAAATTTCTGACGATTTAACCTTAAGGTTAAATTGGAAGAAGCATCCAATCCAATACAAGCATGATAAAAACTGATTGTATATAAGAACGAAAAACATTCAGTTGAATAGTAAGGACAGGTTATGACAACGAAAAACAGATGAAGTCATTTAGGAAGACACGAACGACCTCTTAACTTTCCGTTCAAATGAGTGGGAAATCCGCTCAAAAGCGTGACACTTTTGTAGCCCGATTCACTAAAACGGGGGCTGGACTTGTCCGGCATGCTGGTTGAAATTTCACTCAGTAAATTTTTTGTCAATAGTTTTCAATAAAACTGTGTTATATGTTTTCTGGAATGATATGAATTCTCATTTCGTGGCTAGTTATGTTGGTGTCAGTGTCGTGTGATCTGACTGCGACACACTCTTAGCATATCAGTTGCAATGACTAGTGTTTCAGGTGGACTATGTCGAAATATCCCTTCAATGATGAAGATGGAATAGTTGGAGGGTAATGCCATCTGCACAAATATTTCACTTCATGTAGAAGCTGCAGATTTCGGCATGGTATCATTCAATGAAGACTTCACGTCTCGGGATGTCATTGTGGCTACCATTATACAAAAGAATGCTATCAGTACATGGGAATCACCTTTAAATGGTTACAGAGCCCTCTGTGGGAACCTAAGTTATCATGTAGATGTGTCTTTCGCGTATATGTGTTTGGAAAGGAATTATTGTAAGTTGAAGGGTTATCTCTAAGTTGGTTTAATGTATATTTACACTGATTGGCGCAGTGAAATATGGGTTGTGTGGATTCAATGTATAAAAGACACCTCTATTGATATTACGCTGTCGCCTGCTTAGCTGACTGATGGGCTAACAAACGTGGGTGGTTCTCGTGATTGTTGCAAGTGCAGCGCATCAAGGAAGGCGATGTCTAATTTAATTTTCCTCACTGTTTTACTAAGTGTATTAATTCAGTGTATACTATTTTTATACACATGGATTGTGTTGATTATGAGAACTGAATCTAGTTTGCTCTATCGTTATTAGTTTCCCGTCTGTTGTATCATTCCCACTGACGCTATAGACTTAATTATGCAGTGTTTTGGATCACCAATAGTAGAGGTGAATTTCTCCCGAAACTTCCATTTACATGAAGCAGTACAGATGTAGTGTCACGATTGGATATCTAGGTTGCGTCATATGACAATGTTATCCTCATCAACTCAGAAGGTCTGTGTACTTTGTAATATTTTAAGTGTTTCCCTATACTGCCAGCACTGCGCATAGCTGCTTAGAGTTGGGGCATGTTCTGATCCTTTTTGATAGCTACGGTTTCCTAAATATAAGAATGTAATTTCGGTACGATTCATAAGGCTATGCTCACTAGACATCAATTAGATTCTGGTTCAATTTCTAAGTTATACACTTGCAATACTTCCTTTAATGTAAAGGTATTTAGTGTGAAGTTGATCTGCAAGTCATCCTGATGAGAGAATGACGCCCCAACAGTATGAATATTTCAGATATTGTTTTGAAATTTGCGTACACCGTCCAATAATGAAGAGTATATGAGGTGTATTTATGCATACGGTGTCAATATAAAAACCAGCCGTGAACTACAAATACTTTTATCTACATGAGATATTTACTTATTATTGATAGAAAGTGTATTCATATTGTACACTAATATGTAAAATTGTCTTTTGTAACTTCATATTTTAGGTATATGGAAGTTTTCGAATATAAAAGCAGCGGAAATGTCAATCGGTCAAACTAACGCTGATACCCTTCATCAGAATTTTCTTCTGTAAATTAAGGAAATGCCTAATATGTTCTTAATTTCTACTCCTTGTGGACTTCTTCATTGGGTCACTATATTATGAGCTTTTGTAACACGTGAATTCGGGTTAATGCGTGTTAAGCTTAGTGGCACGGAGATTCAGTATAGTATTATGATACTTACTTTAGTCATTTATAGGACTTCGCGTCTGTTTCTATACAATAGCACATTGTAAAAACTAAGTAGGATTTGGTGAGTTGAATAATAATTCTGTACTGTTCGACACGCCCAAGTCGCCTTATTTAACCAGTTGCAAGTCTGTATACCGCTTAACGCCAAGTATGTAGTACAAGTAAATGCACTAACTTGGGGTGACATTATCAAATAGACTGTTTACTTGGCGATGAGCTAAGAAACAGTCTTTATTTACTTCTGATTTGCTGTTGAATCATGTAGTGTCATCTAATATCCACCATTTTTATGATCAACAATTGCATTATTTGCATTTATATTTCGTTAAGTATGCGGATGACCCAACTGTTTCAATACCTGTTAACTCCCAGCTAGACTGTACTAAGATAAACAGCTTTCTATCAGGAGTCAGGAAATAGTCTTAGAATGAATCCTTCCAAATGTCGGACTGTTAATTTCAGTTTCCTATGCAAAAGAAAGTTAAATGAAGCTGTTGGTTCCTATGACCGTCGCAAAATCGATGATAGTGACAAAGAAGTCAAGTATGACGTTAAGTGCCTTGAATTAATTCTTCCTTCTGACCTATCCTGATCTTCCCATGTCTTAGCGATTCGTAAAAGAATATTTTGTCTGACTTTTCACATTAAGAAGTTAAGGCACTCAGGCGTAACTCATTCCTTCCTCTTACAGTTTGTCAACTCGTGTATCCTACATATTCTTCTTTGCTGTTCACCCTTGTTCTTTCCTGGATTGCTTAAAAAGACTATGTCATACTTCTTAGAACCCTGAAGACTATCAGTAGGGCGATTGGTCTCCTTTTTGGCCATATCTTTGCAATAATCATTGACTATAGACACCTGATTTGGACAAATTGTGGGCATTCACTTTACCCGCAGCTTTCACCTTGTGTCTCCTCCGGCAAAACAAGAAGTCATTTCAAAGGACTGTATGAGTGCAAATCTTAATATACAGCCGCCATGATACCACGTTTACAATGTGTTTTATGCGATGAAAATAGGGTCAGGGGAGAAGTAACTAAACCTCTTTGCACTAGTGAATAAACCATTCTCCCCATCCTCATCCCATCAAGCTTTACAGTTATTATTCTTTTATTTTTAATCCTCTTTCGAATAATTTTGACTTAGTAACCTGACTGAGAACCAATTCCTGTAATTAATTAATATTTTAAGTAATTCAGATGCAATTTGTGATAAATGCTCAAAACTCCATTCTGTATTATAAGTACTGTTTTTAAAATTTGAGTAGGTTTTATTATTAGACTTCAATGACGCCACTTCATCCTGCTTGACCTGTTCTCCTTGCTTTAATCATGATAGTAGCGTGTTTAACAGGCTTCATCACAATACGTATGAACCCCAAATGTATACCACATGGGGGAAGAATATTTGTGAGCTAGTTATGCAAATCGAAGTGAACGCTTGTATGGCACATTCATCATTTTTGAGACTAGTTATTTAAGATCGTACACTTCACACCGAATTCACTCATAGATTGTCGCATGCTGCAAGCATGAGGGTGAAAGCCATTGTTTTTCCAGATTTCTATATATTAAGTAACCAATTGAGCCAGCAACAATAGCGGCAACTAACGAATGAACATCAGCTTTTGCCACCCAAACATGTTCACGTGCATATTTACCAAAACTGCAAGATAAACGCCAAAGCGGCAGGAGTAAACAGTAGACATTAAGGTCAATGACTTTGAAACGACCCATCAGATCGTTCGTCATTCATAATGGATGCGGTTCATGAACTTCGTTTCAAGTTCCACGCAGATTTAATTTTTGACTGTATTTGGAAAATGGGTTGTTAGGGAGGTCTTAAACCTGCATACTTGGAGGGATAATGACGCTGCAAAATTATTGGTGGGCTATTGACAGCTACGCCTACAGATGCAACCACTGTTACATGAGGAATTCCGTGTGAGATGGTAAATCGTACGTTACGGTGAATTTTTAGATACTTTCTTCGCTAAATTGAAGCTGCCCCTTAGTAAAATATTGCGTATATGCCATAACTGGCTATTAAAGCGACCAGTATGTGCTGCAGTTGCAGAAACCGGAAATATAAAGATTTCAACAGTGCGTTGGTATCAGTACTGCTGTAATATTGCGTCACAAAAGCTAATCTGTTAATACCAATTACACAACGACTAGCCCTCCTAGGAATTACTATCTACACAGACAAATGGTGAGGTTATTCTCAATTATCATCACTGGGCTATATTCACCACAAAGCCAACCACTCTTCTGAACGGATGGATCGTGTGACAGGAACACATACAAAGTCCATTGAAGGATTGAGCGCTCACCTAAGAAAACTAATCAGAATGGTAAACGGTTCCCAAAGTGATATGTTATATAGCCATTTAGATGAGTTTTTTTATCGACATGGGTTTAATATGTCTTTAACCACTCCCATAAGAAACTGGGACAAGCTTTTGCGGCATATCATTATTCATTATCATTATATCCTTTAATTCTTAGAGGAACATAGGGCTTCAGCTGCGCGTCTCCATTGTCTTCGGTTTTCTGCCAACTTTTTCACTCTGCTCCAAGTCTGCCCACATACTTTCATCTCCTCTTCACATGACCTCCTCCAAGTCACCCTTGCACTGACGACCAACTCGCCGCTTCCCATTCGGGACTCACTCGAGCAACGGCTGGTCTAGTGATGTCACTTGATGGCTTGGTTGCTCAGAGTATGGCCAATCCATCTCCACTTCTTCCTGCTTATTTGTTTCGCAATCGGTTCCTGGTTGGTTCGCTCATCGCCAGAGACCCCTGTTGCTGATCTCTTCTGGCCGGCCATCTGATCTTGAGTAATGAGCGAAGACAGCTATTAATGAAGGTCTGTAGTTTGTTTGAGATGCTCTTTATGACGCGCTGGCCAAGTCTCTGATCCGTATAGTAGCACTGACTTTACATTGGAGTTGAAAATCCGGATCTTACTTTTGATGCTGAGTGATGTTGACCTCCACACAGACTTAAGGGTAATGAAAGCCTGTCTTGCTTTTCCGATTCTGGCTCTGATATCCTCGTCAGTTCCGCCTGTAGTTGAAACGATGCTTCCCAGGTAGGTAAAGGAGGTTGTTTCTTTCAGGTTCCTCCCATTTATGCTGATTGTTGTCTGTTGTTGTGGCTGTTGCTGTTGGTGTTGGCCAGGAATCTTCATCACCTCTGTTTTCTCTGTGTTCACTTGAAGTCCTATCTTTGATGCTTCTTCTGCCAGCTTGTTGCTTTTCACTTGCATATCTTCCAG